AACATTTCATCGCTTACCATTTAGCTATCTTGCCATTACCGATGTAACATCATATGTACATCATAAATTCCCAGTTTCTTTCTTGCTGTACATCGCAACCAAAAAAACCTGTCAGATTAACCAAATCATTACCATAAACAGCTCCATGAATACTCCTATCTCCGAGACTTCACAAAAAAAACTCTTGCACGCGTTGCGTGCCTATGTTTTTATTGCGTGACAATGAAAACGATCTATCAAATCATGAATCCCAATTGCAACGATGATTGGAAGGGAGATAATCAACTGGAACAAGATCTTGGAGAGTTTTTTTGCCCAAAACTTGAAGCGAATAGAGATCCTTGATTTTGTGCAACAAACGTTTCCTCAATACCACTGGAGTATAGTAATAATAGTAATAATTAATATTATTATATATAAAAGTCAGTGGTATACCGAGTGGTAAAAAATTGATAAAAATGATATGATATCCTCACATGTGAAGATATCATGTTTGATAACATTTCTCTTTTTTCCCTTTAACTACACTTAAATTTGTTGGTGTATGATCGAAACATCTTCGGATCTTCTTCGGTCGTCTTCGGAAAATGTTTGGAAAATGCTCGGAAACGTTCGTCTGGCCTTCGGAACAATTTTGGAAAATATTCAGAAATCTTTGGAAAGTGGTCAGAAATCTTTGGAAAATCGTAAAAAACGGTGTCATCAGCATGTCTATACAATAAAAAACAACATTACATGTTAGCTCGAAGATATGAATTTTATGTTCTTGTTGCAAAAACGACATCTCACTCGTGCGCTGCGCTCACTCGTGACATATAGTTCTTGCCACTCAAACATAAAATTCATATCTTCTTGCCGCCTTGTAATATCCTATATATTATAATAATAATAATAATAGCAATAACAATAACAATAACAATAATAATAACCACCATAATAACCATAATAAAACAACTCTCTCAGGACCTGCTGAAGCATTTCGAGGTGCTTAAGAAATGCAGAAACAAATTTGACTGTTTAGTGTACGAAAAGCTTTATATATAGGAGCTTTAAAGCAAATATCAACGTGCAATCAGACTCCATTCTTGTGAAAGTATTTTGACAACCTTCGCACCCTTTATGTTAATTATTTGCGCCAAAATTGCTTCAAATGCTCTAATTTGCATGATCTAATATATTTTTTCTTGATAATGAAGTCATGCGTACTCCGAAACATTGGATTTTATCGTTCGTTTTACCGTTTTATGTTTATATGGGTGTAATTTATTGTAAGCATAATGTATAAGTCCACAAAAAAAAAAGCCGACGGATCGCAAAATTGGAACGTGAGTGCAATCTACTATAGCACGTAAGAAACCTTGCTCCAAATGGAAATTAAAGTGTTCTACGAGCAAATCCATACATTTCCCAGTGAATGATGATGCACATAAACTTAACTTTGCGTAAAATGGAATTTCTCTTTTCATAAAAAAACATAGATCCGCAATGGGGACATGTGTGGCTTACGGGTTATTCTAGTCATACAAGTTACTTCATGGACGTCAGGCAATACTTGTTACAACAGCAGTATTGTAGTTAAGTGTCAGTTCAAGATTTGAATAATTATAATTAGAAATGTCAAATGAACTATACCCAGAAAGCAAACAAGTTTCCATTTTTAGTGCAAAAATCGCAGTCATGTAATACTTGACCTAGAAATGTAAGACAATATATGTGCCCGCAATGTTAATTAACATAGTGATTTCACGAACTTTATCTACTGGTTAGCAGAATTACTTCAAAAAGTTTACAGATGATGGTAGGACATCATTTGCATAATCTGCGCCACAACTAAAACCCTTAGATTGCTTACACAATCCCCCAGTTAAAGACTGTTTAACAGAAAATCAATCTAAGTTATTGAAACTAACAGTTACAAGCTGCCATTTGCATTATTTGAACTCACAGTTCCATTTTTAGCGCATTCCTTGCAGTTATGTAACACATTTTCTTAGAGATGTCAAGTGATGTATGCGCCCACAAAACAAAAGAATTGTAAAGTGCCTATGAAGTAAAAAATAATTGCCGCTTATTTGAAAGGCTTTTCAAAATAAAGAAGAATGGCACTTTTCTTTTTGGAATATCTTTTTCCCTTTTAGAGGTATTCATGTTTTTGTATTATGCAAATGAGGAAAGTGATGAGGTCATAAATAGTTCCACTTAAACAATAAAATACTGAATCAAGAATATCTCCAGAAATATTGGAGTGTTCCTCAACCTTGGCACCAGAAATGTATATCACAAAAGAAACAGAATGACACCTACAATGTTGTCTCCAGGCCAACACTCTTGGCTCCAATCTCTTTCTGTAAAAAAACAAACCCTCATTTGCAACCTTTTAAAGTGGGACAGACGGTCTTGCTCGGAACACACATGGTTCCCATATTGTCTTAACTCTCCCCATTAGATTGTTGGGAGAGGATGATCCTTGCTTAAGATAAAATCTGGGCATTTTAGCCTTAATTAAAACAAGACCAGCGGCATAACTGTTGTCATGGCAATGGCACAACAGGTGTCGTTTTGTTTCTTTTGTGATGTACATTTCTGGCGCCAAGTTTAAAGAACACTGCTTTAATATTTCTACAGATATTCGTGATTGACTGTTGTACTGTTTTCGTGGAACCACCTATGACTTCATCACTTTCCTCATTTGCATAATACAAAATCGTAAATATCTCTAAAACGAAAAAAGATATTCCAGAAAGGAAAACACCATTCTTCTTTACTTTGAAAAGCCTTTCAAATAAGCAGCAATTACAGATGATTGATCAACCCTAATTTGCATAACAAATCGTACCTCGTTTATGCAGTCCACGGGTTAAAAATGGCTTCTTGTGCTTGATTTATATTAGGGATGAATAATCTGTTAATATGAACTTAGGCAAGTCTTTTTAGCACATCTTGGCATGAGGACGGGCACCAGAGAGATCATCTGTCAAGATAAAGGGTGCTTTTGATTATACCAGAGCGACTGGTCAGAGACCAGTGGGAATACACGAGGAAAACGGAATGACATTTTCCAATCAAACCAGGCCAACTAATAGGAATGGCTCTTAGCATTTTTATTCCTTTTCCGAATTCCCTTCAAAAGTGAAGAGAAGTAGGGCAATGAACCAGTCTGTCAAAATAAAACGGCAAATGTTGGTCAGAATACTTCGGTTAGAAGGAACCGAAATGGACCTTTCCAGTTGATTTCCGACAGAAATTTCTGGAATCTTTGACATAATGGAAAGCACCCAAACTATCTGCTTTGTTGCGCCTTGATCCATGATTGGCTAAGATGATAATCCATTTGTGTGTATAAATCAGACGAATTGTACGTTTGGACGGTCAAGTGTATCAGCATGATGAATGATTTGACAAGACAAACTATCTGCTTTCATACATTTTGGACAAACGAGACCTTACTATGTCATACTTTGTCTGGTTTTTATACTAGATGAAAAAGACAGCAGATGCATAATCTGTCTGGATAGATTCTACTTCGTCATTGGTCAATGTCGCTAAGGAGTCACGTGAGATATGCGCGTGAAACTAGAGCGGTCACTTGCAAGCGAACTTTGGAGTAGTTGCACGTAGAAATATTCATCATAGCGAAAACAAACCATCCAGAAGATCCCGACGAAATAATGAAGGAAAATCCCACTGAGGAAGTCGAAGTCGAAGTTCTAGAGGATCCTGCACTCGACAATAGCGACTCACTATCGAGAGTACTCACTAATTTGAACCAAAACATGGATCACATGGCAAGTTCATTGTCCGCCATGGGCGAAGCTTTTGTTGCTTTGTCGAAGCAGTGCCCAGCGAAGCGAGACACTCGCTCTGGGACTTTAGACCCTTTAAATGGGGAAACAAAGAAACCTAGAGTTGATGCCGGTGATGCTGTTGAAACTGGCAGTGAAAGTGATGATTCGGACGTTCAAGAGCTTCTTGCAACCAGCGCTGAGAACGACTCCGAAGGTGCCAAAACGTCGTCCGCCAAAATGCAGGACTCCTGCAATAATGAAGGCAAAGACGATCTTTTAAAGAAATTGGCCCTTCAAAGTGTAATAAGTCTTATTACCCCTAACTGCTATATGGCCTCTGTTGACCTCAAGGACGCATATTACTGTGTACCTATTGCGGTTTCAGACCAGAAGTACCTTAAGTTTGAATGGGGTGGCAAATTGTATCAGTTTACCTGTTTTCCTAATGGTTTAGCTTCCTGCCCAAGGAAGTTTACTAAACTAACGAAGCCAGCCTACTGTTTTGAGACAACTTGGACATACAAACTCACCTTATATTCATGACTCGTACCTACAAGGTGGAAGTTATGAGGAATGCCTAGCTGTTCTAGACACTGTGAAAATGTTCCTCTCATTGAGTTTCATTATTCACCCTCAAAAATCAGTTTTTATCCCTTCACAAAAAATATTTTTGGCATTTGTCTTGGACTTAGTCCAGATCAAAATTTATTTGACCAATGAAAAAGTTGACAAGCTCAAATCAATTTGTACCAAGCTTATCAAGGTCAAAGAAACCACTATACGGGAGGTTTCAAGGGCCCTTGGGTATATGGTATCTAGTTTCCCAGGTGTCATGTATGGCCCGCTTTATATCCGTCAGTTAGAGAGGGTGAAAACTCTTGCTTTAAGATATAACAAGGGTGATTATTATGCTTGTATGGTAGTATCAGACAAAGCTGGTACAGAATTATTGTGGTGGAACACACACCTTGAAGCCAGTTACAATGTCATTACTCATGGTGAGCCTACTGTTGTCCTGTCAACTGATGTCTCATCCACTGGCTGGGGCTGCACCCTAAATGATACCAGTACAGGTGGACACTGGACCACAGAGGAAGCCTGAAACCACA